TTGGCCTCAAATCAAAATCTCAGTTAATACACTGGAAATAGCAATTGCCTAGGTTCCTAAACTGGAATATATTCCCTGAGATCCCCGGCCAGCTGCTTTTGTGGTAGACTATTACAGAGCCAAGGACCTTGGAAACCCTGGCAGCTGCTTTCTGAAAATGATACAATTTTTTACAATTTCCCTACTGCCCACCCCTGTAAAGCTGGGAGGCTGAACAGGTCTCAGTGTTACATAGTGGCAAAACGGACAAAAAATTGTAGTCTTGCAATAGGGGACAAAATGGGAGAGAGCCCAAATCCATCTATATGCAGCCCTTTTCAGTTATGAGAAGCTTGGTAATAAATACTTAGTGTAGAAGTATCCACTGGACTCAGTAGCCCTTACACACAGCAAATCACAAAATGCTGCCCTGCATCCTATGACTAATGCAGGATCTATAGGCAGCAACCACCACCCAGAACACCTGCAGGAGAGGTTTGGGACATCAGCAAAGTTCTGGACCAGCAGTGGATTTGGTGGGCAAATTGACAAACTGAAGAGGATTACAGGTACAGAAGAAGACAGAAAAAAAGCCCCCAAAAAACCCAAACAAAAAACCCCCACCGGTATTTCTTTCCTGATTCCTCCTATTCAGTGTAGTTCTGAACACAGAGGCAAGACATTCCACCTGAGAGATATTTAGCACTAAGACTTCATCTAAATAACCCCAACTATTCAGGGAAAAGTCAAAATTTTCTCCTTAAAGACAACTTACCCAACAAGAAGAAAACAAAATCCTTTCTGTCCTCTGCAGCTGATCAGTAGAAGCCCCGAATCGTGGGATCAGTAACAAAAAAATTAGAGTGTAATGAACAGTTTAAAATCGATCAAAAATATCACTGGGTAGGAGACCTGGGCAGGGGACTAATCTCATCTAACTTCAGATGTCTAAAGCTGGCTCTCCAGATTCCTTGTACAGCCATGGAGAGAAAGAGGCACTGTTGGGGCCCAACTCATCTCACCTATTTTAAATGCCTATCTTAGGATGAGATTAATTTAATTTTACAAGTTTTTATTTCTCCCTATTGACTATAAAAAGGGTCTAGGAAACTAGTTCAGATACGGATGCCTGCATTGCAGACATCTATATTTGGACAGATGAGTCTCACTGCCACAGACCTGTATCACAAGCTTCAGTGTCTACTGCCAGCAACATCCTTATACTGCCATACACTCCTTTCCCTAAAACTTAGCCAGCTTCATCTTTCTAGCAGTAGATTTGAGGGTTGCCAGGACCCTTCGTGTTATTGCAACCAATGCTTTTAGCCTCCAGCAACCAAAACAGCCTGGAACCATGAGCTTCTGTGGTTCCTTGTCAGCTGCCTGGGAAGTTAAAATGATTCCAGGTGCTCTCATGAACACTGGCTCCCAAGCTTCAAAGCATCTGACTTGCATCCTGCCACACACAAGTGACAACGAGCAGGAAAGGCCTGAGAGAAGCTTATCAGAACCCCTTTTTTCACAAATGGTCCTGTCCAGCTCAGTCAGTCATTCATTTAACAAGATGCAGTGGCTGAAACAAATGACCTGTGAACGTGGTTCAGATCAGTAATGCCAGAACAAGGGCAATGCTGTTGGTACCTTTGCTTTCTCTCTTCTTTCTGTTGCCTTTTGCTTGTTCATGGCCCTCTCTCCTGTAGTGGGAAATGGAAGCCCCATTTAATTTGGCCTCTTCTTCAACAGACACTGGATACAAATCCTGGGTCTAAGCACTACATTTCACTTACAGCATCTTCAGTTTTCATTGTACAGCTTGTTGCACTATTTGATCACTTGAGATAACAAATGTTATTAATTTTTGCTGTTCAGGAATGAAGTTTTTGGAAGATTGCCCAGTTCAGCCACTAATTCCATTATATCTGTTGGTGGGTGGCGTGATTGGCAGCTTAAAGGTAATGTGCCTTCTAAGTGTGAAAAATACTCTGTGTGACTAGGCTTTGACTTGCTAGTTAAGACATCATGATGGCTCCAGACAGTTAAGTGCATGCAGTACTGAAGAGAGCTATCTGGATTGATCTGCACTTGTTCCAGCACCTAAAGCAGCCATCAGCCAAGTGAGACGCTAATGAGTTCAGCATTCAGAGTTGTCCCACACACTGTGGTGTGACTTTCTCCTACATCACAGCATCTGCGCTATCTTCCCTACTAAAGGAAAGGACTACATAACATGGATGTCTGGGGTAGGAGGGGTCCTATTTCCACAAGCAGTCCTCCAAGCCTGCCAGATGTTTCTCCTTCATTTTCACACACAGGCTGGACAAAAAGTGAAGTTACTCTCCTGGCTTTGGGAATACTGTAAATCTACAGGTGTTTGTGCATAGTCCTTCATAAGTTCAATTTACTCCCATTCTGACCTGAACAGAAGCAATGACTATGCAGCAACATGGCTTCCTTCCAAAGAAAATATATCCTTGCCTCACAGCAGGGTTTATTAATCTCCACACAGCATTTTCTAACCACAGCTACCTGTCTTCTAGGGGATTGTGCTCCCACTTAGATACTCTCTGAGCCAAAGCCTGGCTGCTTGACAAGACATCCCTGTGTTCATGTTACATCCTAGTCACTATAAATCTGTAAGTCTGCATTGACTCTAGGGTAAAGGATTGCCCTGTTCTGACAGTCCCTTTGCAGACTGTGCTACCAGTGGGCACAAAGAGGCTTGTCACAATAGACTGCAGAGGTACTCTAAGGCTTCTCAGCAGGATTAAGCAAAACTGTTTTTTGCTGTCCCAACAATGTTCCTGCCAAAGGAAGGAAAAGGGGCAGAGCTGAAGGAAAAGCTTTGGAATCTCACTGCTGGGGCATGAAGGACTAAGGACAGCAAGTGCTGCTGCTGGAGGGAACAACTCTACTTGTAGCATTGGCTGTCCTGCAGCAGCAACCTGGCACCCATCCTACCTTCCCAGGAGTCTGGCACTGGCAGAGCAGACAGGGTAGACCTGACGGGGAGTCATCTAATATTTTGGTAGAGGCAGCCTGTCTCTTGAAAGGGAAGCTGCCAGTTTCTGACTCAACAGCATTGCAGCCTGCAGCCACTGCAGAGAGGAGATGGCTATGTTCCCCTCTGATAATGTTTCTAGTCCCTTTTCTTTGCCAAGATCAAAAGGAGGGGGAAAGACCATTCCTCTGCAGGTCTCTTCACGCCCTGTGCTCTTTCACAGTGGCAGCCAGACCACAGTACATCACTGGGACATGAATCATCCCCCTGAGGACCTCTGGTCAGTACATAAGTAAATGGAGAAAAAAGAAAGTGCTTAATTTTGTTAGAAGTAATTTGCAACATTATAAGGAATTTTCAGTTCTATGAATTCTCCTGGCAAATGCTTAGTCATTAACTCACACCAGTGGACTTATCTGTATGATCAAAGGTTCAGTTAGTAATAGTTCAGAAAAGATTAGAATAGAATTGAGAGGAATTTTTCATGCTAATTAATTGAAGCCTTCATCAAAACCTGTGATTGTTTCTTAGCTATTTCTGGTTTAAAGTCAGTTTTTCTCACCCTAAATAAGATGGTAAGTCCCAGCATCAACATAGGCAAAAAAGATGCTGTTTCCACTGGATTTCTCACATCCCGCAGAGCACCCAAACTGGTAGGCTTGTTCAAACCAGCAAAACATCTTCTTTTCATGTGAACACTTGTTTTAGAGCAGACTTATGACACACAGGAGGGATAAAACCCACCTGGCCAGTGGGTCTGAGGTTTCTGCATAGGGACCTGTGGCTTGACCTGAAGATCTGTGCAGCACTTTAGCTTTGAGGTGAGCTCAGCACCTAGACAGCTGCATGTACTCAAGCTTCACCAAGCTCAGCAATGGGAATGGGGTTAAATGGCAGATGAGCATTGGTTTTGACAAAGTCAGAGAAGCTGGGGTTTAGGTTGAGGTCTAGACCCTTCATAATTTTATTTAAGCTGATTCACCTGTATAGCCATGGAAAATGGAGTTAGGAGAGACAAACCCACCCACTAGAAGGCAGGAAATACTCTACTTAAGTAACTTTGCAGTTACTCTAATCTGTTCTTAAAAGTCTCCAGCATGGAAGCTGCTGCCATTTCCCTT